GTTAACTACTTTTTGTCTTAAAATCATAGATAAGCTGGTTTCTAAACAGTATTCAACTCTGGTTCAGTTATGAAATCATTTCGAAGAAAAACCAGATAATATGATTTTTAAATTAGCATTGTACATTTGCTTATGATCTACAATTTAATGTCTTTTAATGTAACAAAATCGATATATGGCACTAATTTTTATTTGCTGTGTTAGCTTTCCTGCTTGTTCTCTTAAGCTTTACTTTCTTTTAGCTGTGCTTTCTAAAGCAGTTATTTTTTAATGTTCTTAGACCTATTAACAATAATTCACTAAAGTGTAAAACTATGTTTTTTAGAAAAAAATTGAAAAACTTTTTACTTAATAAACTCACCTGTTTATTCAGTAGTACATATGAAAATGAATATTACCATTACCAAAGATCAAAAAAAATTTTGTTTCTTATGCAATTAAGTTGCTTTGCCAGAAATTCACCCCAGCAGTAGTTTTTTGCAATTTTTTTCAAAATTTACAACAAATAGTAAGTTTCCTGATTGCAGAAAAAAATTTCTGCTCTCCTAATTGGTACGAAGAATCAGATGTCTGCTACAGACTGGTAAGTGGTGTTTATTTTCTAATACTAAAGTGGATGAATAGTAATAGCTTCATATTTAATAGAATTATTTTGCTTCTAAAATTAGCATTAAGTATGGCAGAATTGGTTAGTCACCCACAACAGTTTGTTAATAAAGAAACAAGTCTATTTACAAAAACTAAAAGCCACAAATTTTTCTGGATGAGTAACTTTTCATAATTTACTGGTCTATCACAGTAAACATGTATCTTTAAAAAGCCTTATGCTTTATAGTAGGTACGCATTGAGAGTCTAAATTATCCAGCTTAATTCTTGCTGCTTATAATGTATAGCACTGTTACTAAATACCTCATATAATATAAACTTTGGTAACTAACATATAAAAAAATGACAAAAGCTGTAATGATCATTTTTTACAAAGCGCGAACCTGAAGAAGACTGTTTTTTTAATGAGTCTGCTCACCTCAAAGTAATTTATTTTTTGTAATTTGTGTTTAGAGCTTTGGAGCAGTTCTGACTTATTTAATACAATATTGCATAGAATTCTGTGCAGTTTGTTTGCATATCTATCTAAGAGTTAACAATTTTGCATTAGCCAGTATATCTACGAGTTTCTAATACTAAACTATTTTGGATTATCGCAAGGTTCTGAATTCCTCTCTATAGTCTACAGATTTTTTATTGAATATTTTACATGTTTTTTTTTTTTTTGACTTTTTATCTTAACTTCATTTTTCGAAAGCAAGTTTAGCAAATACAGGAAAACAGTTTATTACTCACCTGAAAAAAGTGAAATACCATGATTACCGTAACACGAGCGGTATTGTTTAACTGAGAAAAACCGAAAGATATACTAACTGGAGAGAAACCACTTGATAAAAAAACAAAGCGCTTAATGTAAGATTTTTTATATCGCTGAGGCTAAATAGTTTCAAAGTCACTAAATACTTTGGCAGTATTAAATATCAAGCACTGTGAAAGCTGTAAAAACTTACTTTTTTTATTTTTCTAGATTACAGCTAAATCGTTGACTTAACTGTCCGTTACAAACGGTCTAACAAGATAGTGTTCTCTAAAAATGCTTTTCTGTTCAACCTGAATCTGCTGCCTCTTTAATTCATTAAAGTGGTAATTTTTTTGTGTTTACTATTCACTTTATTCTTAAAAACATAATAAAAAGATTTGGTCAAAAAATGTTTTTTTTCTAATTTAAGAAATATAAGAGTAGCGCAGCGAACACCAAAAAATGTAAACGAGAATCGCTTTTTATTCTTTATAGAGTTCTTGATTAAGATAACTTTAGAAAGTAGAACTGCCTTAAAATTTCTTTGAAACTGCATGCCAAAAAAAGAACTGAAAACTTTGTTTGCTGTCATCATCATTCGAAATAAATTTTTGCTATTTACCGTCTTTTACAAGTGCTTAAAGACTTTTTAAATTATAAGCCCAAAATAGAAATTTTCGAAAACTTCGTTTTACATCTTTCACTTGAGCAAAGAGAGGAAATTTGCAAGAATTGGTGAATAAAATCTACTTCACCTAAATATTGCAATCGAAATGAAATAAAGAACATTTTATTCAAGATGATTTTCACTTAAACACTGTTTGGAATTTTATTCCTTCAAAGCAATTCGGCAAAAAGCAGCAGTTCACTAGGATTTTTAACAAAGTGAGATTCGCATTCCAAAAAAAAAATCACACAAAATTCCTCATGTGCTTGGCATTTTTTGCACAACCAAGATGAATGCCTTTTAATTATTAATATAAACAATCTAACAGTCAGTAAAAAAGTCAATTATTATTTTGCTTGTAAAAACTTAGTATTTTACACACTCGTAGTTTGTATGTATAAAAAATTCAACTTTGTCAAAAAGAGAATAGATAAAATAAAAAGAAATAAAAAAATATGGCACAGTAAATTTCAAATAAAGTTTTACGAAAAACGAGTCAGTAAACAGTGTTATCATTTCTTTTAATATGCTGTTCATTTTAGCCTAGCCTCTACTTTTTTCACATTTTTTCATATATAAATGCAAAAATATCTTTTGATTATCACTAAAATCAGATTTGAACAGCAAAACCACATTCAAAATTAAAATTCAAAAATGTTTTCCTAAACAGTTCAAAATTCAGGAAAACAATAATAACTTTGCTATGATTCTCTTTTTTATTTCCAAATAATTTTAAGTCAGTTAAACATTAAAGTCAATATTTTTCAATACTGTTTTTGTGGTATTGAATAAAAGACTTTTGAGGTTTCACAAGATTCACAAAAGTAATATAGAACCAAGGGCAACTGAAACTACAAAATTTTATGATAAGCCTATTTGTGCATAAAGTTTGTACTTCATTAAAGAAATTTGTAGTCAGTTTTCTTATGCTGCAGAAAAACAATATGAAGTATCGCACTAAGTTGTTTTGGTGAAGGAAATAAATTGATAGTTTAAACTTTGAAGTTTAAGACAGCAAAAGTAACAAAGTGTTTTTGCGTATTTCTTTCTTAGCCTGATCCTACCAAAATCGGAATTAAGATGTTTTTACATTGCTAACAGAAAGAAATAAGAAATATTTAAAAGTCATTTTCTAAGAAGAAGTCAAGGTATAAGGTGAATATATATATATATATATATATATATATATATATAT